AGTTTAATACTAAAAACCTCTATTATAGGTCTTTGTGAAAATTGCTTGTGGTTTGTCTTTTTGTTTGTCTTTACTGACATGGTAACCCTAAGTAGTTAATACATCACTAACAAGAAAAAAATAATTGTTTCAGCTAGGAATGATGCTTGCATTGTGATCTGGCTGCTGCTGGTCTTATTCTCCAAGTTGGTGCATATGGAATGGAGTATTACAAACTCATCTAATGTTTGTTTAGTGCTGTGGTTTAATTTGGAGGGGGGGGGGTGTTTGTTTTGTTGGTGTATTTTTTTAAACAACTTTGTTTCACAAAACAGAGTTTCTAGAGTCTATCATCAGTGGTCTATCAGTAACTAATTTGAAAAGCACATAGCTGTGCGATGGTAGAGTAGTACATTTGTTGCTTTCTGAATTCAGAATACTAAAAGGAGTCTTAAGAACTGCAGGAGGTATTCCTTGGCTCCAGAATTTAAAGGAAAAAAAAGTATATGTGTATATATATGGATGTAGCAGACATCTATTATATGAATACATATGAGAAAGACTAGAAATTAGACTTGTTCAATTTTATAGTAATAAATTTGTTCTTATTCATTTTTCATTGAGGTAGCCATGTGCATTACTTGGAGAGAATGAATGACATACTTTGATTCTGTTTCTTCTTGAATGTCAATATTCATTGAAATGGCACGACTAGTAATTTAAAGATCCATTCAATTTACAGAAGACTAGGATACCTGCTGATTGCATTTGAAGTATCAGAGTCATTTGTAAATCTTACTCGCAAATCACTGATTCACTCCGAGAAAGAGAGAATGATCTCTCTTCATTGCATATCCCTTATTTGGCATCTATATCAGGAATGTTGCTAAACATATTCTACTAAAGCATGTTTTACTAAGATTTAACAATAATGAGGACAAAATACTCCTTTTTATTTCCCTGGCAGATAATTTAGTTGCCAAAGAAATTTCCCTGTCCAACCATCCAGGACCACTGTGGCAGTTACACTTCACCACCTGATCTGGGACTGAGGTCCCTTGGCAGCTACACCCCCCACACTGTCCAGTCTGACCAGTTGCCTTCACCAACTCCAGCACAGGTGTCCAGTCTCAGAGTCTTAGAGGTCCCAGTCCTTAAAATAACTTTTTGGTGCAGTAATTAAATAAGACAGTAACAGTTCAAGTTGGAGCCTCAGAGTAAGGACCCTGAACAAAGGAACCCGTGGGCTTTCATACCCTCACAGGACAGTCTGGGAGTTACTGGTTCCTGCCTGTGTCTCTGAGTGTCCCTCCCCTGAGTGGGCCATGGGTCCCTGGGCCCTTTGTTGTGCTAAGGGGTATTGGGTTCACAGCCTCCTGCCTTGGGCTGGGCTCCTCCAGTGCTTAACCTGCAGCTGCTCCTGAGCCACCTGCACTGGATTGATTCCTCAGCACAGTGAAACAATAGCTGGTCTGTGTGCTACAGATAACTATACTAAATATTTTACAAACCCGAGGTAAAAATAAGGTAAAATAACAGCAGTGAGCTTTTTCTCAGAAGAGAAGCATTAATCTCTTACATGTGCCATCATGTCACTACTGTCCCTTGTGTTACTAACTAGGTGGTTTCCTGCAGTTATCAGAATGTCTGGTTTGGCTTGTGCTGAAATTTCAGTTCTGTATTGAATAAATAGGAAGGCAGAAGTTCATCGGTAGTCCAGTTTCCCATTTTTTTGTAGCAAGAGGACCACCAAGAAACAAAATTTATGGAAATACTCTGCCCATAACACCAAGGGTGTTTATGCATTTTAAACTTGTAAAGTATTGTGGTTTTTCTTTTTTCATCATTTGTAATTTGATTGTTGACCCTTTTTTGAAAGCAAAATAACTTTTTTTTGTGCATGTGTGTTTAAGCCTAAAATTTACAGTGGTCAGTGATCCTCCAGAAGATGAGCAGGATCTTGAATGTGAGGATATTGGGTTTGCTTATGTCAGTTTAAAAGAGATATTCCAGAAGCAAAGAGATATCATTGAGCAAGATATTGATGGTAAGTTTTAAAGATCGCTTTCTTGTAAACTTCTGTAGCCTAAAATTCATTGAATTTCTACTTTGCTTTGCAGGCATTACTGTGCAAGTAATTGTTTCAATAAGAAATTCGTTAATACTAACTAATAACTTCCACATTTGTTTGCAAAAGTCTGCAAAAACTACCTATTAGTATTATTCCCTAAAGTTTTTTAAAAAAACCCAAACCAAACAGCACTCTCACCTCATAGAAATTGGTTTATAAAACCTAAGAACTTTCAAGCTATGTCCACTGCTATAATTCTGTCTTTTCTACAACATGCTTCATTGTGGTAGGACAATGAATATGTATTCTGTATAAAAATTTGTTTTGCATTAAAATTTTCATCAACAATTTGGTATTACTAACGTCTATATTTTATTTGAAATTACCTTATAGCCCCGAGTACCTCAAGCTTGTTTCCTCCATTTTGTTTCCTCCATATGAAACGTGTATGAGACAATGTGAAATACTGGTGGTTTTGATTAGGAATCAGTTTTAGTGTGCACCCTTCTGTAACAGACTGACCAAACTCATTGTGACTCATTAGAACAAGGTGATGTGATTAGGAAATGTGGCATCTTGCATTTCCTAAGGTCATAGGATGCATTTTTATGACGTTGATAAGAAGACTTAAGAAGGCTTTTTGGTCCTTTTGTCAGTTATGAGGATAATACTCTCCTTGCTCAGTTTCCTGTTCCCCGTGGCAGCAGAGACACAGGGTGCACTTTTCTCTTTACTCTTTCCTCTCACTCCTCTTTCCCCCTTGAGGTGAAGCTCAATGAAGAAGCTGAAAGCACCTCTTTTATAAAAGGGTCACTCTCCTTTCCCAGTAAGTGAACTAGTTCAATGATTGGGTGCAGAGCAGCCATGTTCACAAGGTGCCTTTTGCAATAGCAAGAGTTCTGGTGAGGCCCAGGAAAATGCCAGGGAAATGTAACTACTGCTTCTACTGTTGTGTCTAATTCCTGTACTTGAGCAGTGGGGAGCTGAGTAATGAGGGAAAGAAATAGGCTTTCTTATCCATTCCCATTATCATGCATTATTTGCATCCACGCTGTTGCTGTAATACTCAAATTTACCGGAATGCAATAAGGAAAATTCTAAGAATCATCAAATTTCCATACTCTGGAAGAATAATATACAGACTTGATGCATTTCCTGCTGTGGCTGAGGAACTTAAGCTTTTCTCCACCAATAATTTTGTCCAAATACAAAAGCTCCTCCAAAAATTTATTTTGTAATCTCTCACTGGAAGATTGATTTTTGTTCTGGAATTTGTGACCATACCTCCCACTGTCACAATTCCTATTTGATAAGATTGATTAGTGAGGTAGACATAATTCTTGAAAGTCACTTTTCACAAAACTCTTAAAATTCCTAATCATCATCTGAGAGAATTATTAGGACCAGAATGACTGATTTTTATTACTAGTTACTGTAAGTGTAAGCTAATCATTTCCATGTAATGACAATTACTACAATGTTGTGAGGAGCATTTCTTCCCCTAATTGTCAGACTAATTTAAACTGATTTTTTACTTTATGTTAATTATATATATGAAAATTACAATAATAGCTAGAAATACTTCTATTCTTTTTCCCTTCTGCATTTCTCCCCTTTCCTGCATATGCTGTACAGTTTTTTGGGGATTTTCATTGCATCCATAGCGTATAAACTTTTATATTTTCTGAAAATAAAGATGTTTCAGAAAATTGTGATTAATTCTATGTTAAAATATATCAGATCATGGCAAAATAATGTATATGTATATTGTCTTAGATGAAGTAATTGTAAAAGGATCAATTCTTCAGATCTGAACACAAATGTCAATTAAATGTAAGGGCACAATAAACAGAATTGCTTAGTGTTGTACACATTCTCTTGAGTTGGATATCGGTTTAAGGAAAAATAATAAACCTAGACACAGGGAAATTCATAGGACACTACTGCATGAAGATAAAGTCATTCTTAAGTTAGATACCAAACTTCCTTTATTCTTTTTGAGGATTGCAACCATATATCTTTCTCATATTTTGTTCTTTCATTGCTGATTATGTCAAAGTGGTTGATGCGACATTTGAAGCAATTAAGTGAATGGCTAAGCAAGAAGATGGATGGAAAAATATTGTAGTCAAAACATCTAACAGTATCTCTCAGAGATACGACAGTATAAAAAGTGAGAAAATAGAATTAATGTTATCTTCTGATGTAATTAACTATAATTATCCTGCTCTTCTTTTAAGTAAAGAGTCCCCTGAAGTCTGCTCTTGAAGTTGACAGTTCACTGAGTGATTTGTCAAGGCTGATTTGGACCTATCCCTCATACACAGTGTAGAAAAGGCATTAATTGGTGTATTTTTACTTAAAACTATTCCTATGTATGTAGATATATGTTTAACAGAATTTGGAAAATCTTTATTTACATATTGTGGAAAAATAATTATCTTATATCGACAATTATTATATTGATAGTTTCCTTTCTAAATTAGTTTCAACACAAATACATTTATTGATGTATATTCTAGGTCTAGGAGTGGTTAATTTCCAGTAGCCTGAGGACCTGAACTGCAAAATGATTCCTTTATTTCTCCCTTTTTTTTAGCATATGCTAGTTGCACTTTAATCTGTCCAAACACTAAATGAAACTATCAAAACAAAAGTGAAATCTTAAGTTGAAAAGCTAATGCTGTTTTCTGATGTTTCCTTTCTAGTTTTCGATTCACAAGATGCCAGTGCAGTAATTGGAAAGCTCACAGTGACAGTGGAAGCCCTCAGTGCACTGCGTTCAGTCCATGAGGAACGCAGAAATGATTAGGAGGCAGGAAAGGGACATTTGCCTATTGAAGTTCTTGCTCCCAGTATAAAGATACACTTGATGGTTCATCAAAAATTAGATCTTTATCATTCTCAGAGTATACTTAATGTAAAATGTATATTAAAAAGATGCTTGATGTCCAGGTATAAAGTTTTGTACACTTTTCAGTCTGTTTTCTTTTTTTTAAGGTCCTTGCTGAATCATACTTCAGGCTCTCGACACTTGATAGTGTAAGAGTCTAACTTAGTTCCAACGAAGTTTGATTTCAAATGCAAGCTTGCTTGTAAATTATCAGATACCAATTGAGGGTATTTTGTCTTAGGAAATAAGAGATGGTGAACCTTCAAACAGAAATGCTTGTAGATTGTTACTAGGAGTAGTTCTGTCACAATACCATGTCAGAATACAATCATTCCTGTTAGAAGTGACCTCGGGTAGTTTTTAGTCCAGTCACTGCAGGATTAGGTGTTATGTTAGGCCCTGTTGCTCAGGGCTTTATCCAGCCTGGTCTGAAAACTTCCAAGGACAGGTACTGCTTAACTGCTCTCTGCACAACTGTTCCAATGCCTCACTGTTCTCATAGTGAAAAAAGGAGATGCATTTTACACATTACTTCAATCCAGATTGAAGCCAAAGCTAGATCTAAGCACATGGAGCAGCCTTTTGCACTTAATGCACCATCTAATAATTTAATTTGTTGTTTGTTTTTTTTTTAATTCTAGGGGTGGCATGTTTATCATTTGTTTCAGCCATTTAACATTTTGCACAGAAATAAAAATAACAAAGCATTTTAGTGTTGATTTTCATGCTTTGCAATATACCATCACATTTTGATCCAGTTTTGTAAAGCAGTTGACAAAAAATAGCTGTTATTATTATCAAAGTGGTTTGCTCATGTAATGTTTCTGTAGATTTCGGTAGTAAACAATTTGTTATGATTTATTCCTGGGTTCAGAGTTTTTTTTAATTAGGTTTAGATTATTTTAAGAGTAAGGACAGCTGCAACAGTGCAAGACAGGTCTTCCACACAATTAGCAATTATTTGTTTCACATTTTTGTGGAACTTTCATTCTTGTTAAATGCAGAATTATTTCCATATGTATTAAAGTCACAAGAACTGAACCATTATTGAAAAGAATGTTGCAAAAATGTGGTCCTTCTACTGCTACCAAAAAAAAAAATCAATAAAGTAAACTCTCTTTTGCTTGTTATAGTCCAGTGGTTATTCTGATTACCTACTTATAAGTACAAATAGCTACACAAGCTGACAGCCTTTGACTTCAGTGGTAATGAACAACCAAACTTCACCTTAACATGAGGAAGAACTTCTTTCCATTAAGGGTGGCAGAGCAGTGGGACAGCTTCCCAGAGAGGTTGTGGAGTGTCCTCCAGAGACAGTCAAGACTAAAACCTACCTGGACACATTCCTGCGTCACCTCCAGGTGACCCTCCTTTGGTGGGGTGATTGGACTAGACGATCTCCAAAGCTCCTTTCCAACCACCAACTAACTATTCTGTGAATATATTTCAAATCAATGCCTCTTATTGAGAACAGTAAAGGCAAGAGGTTGATGTAGCTGGGCCCATGAAATTTGCAGCTACTTAAAGGACCATTGCAAGTACGGTGGAACCAGCCAGACTCCTTGCAGTTGTGGCAAACGGTGTAGAAGGGACACAAAAGCCAGACCTTGCTGTTTCAGTGGGCTCTGGTAGGGTTTTAGGGAGAACTTGTTCCCCAGGGGGCTGGTGTGCTGGGAGGGGATGGGAAGGGGGACAACACAGAGGGTTCGGGTCCAGCTGGACTCCATGACCCTTCTGCCTCAGGATATTCTAAGTTTGTATGCATAATGCTTCTCAAAAATACTATGAATCTGGAACATTCCTTCTTTAATAAAGTTCAAAGATGAAAGCAAATATAATAATAAAAATATACAGTATTAAGATGTCTTTTTCTTGGGGTTTGGGTTTTTTTTTCCCCAGTTTTGGCCACACTGTCTTTGTCTCCTTTTATTATCTTCAGTACTAGTCATTGTCACAACTTTGCCATTTTCTCTTTCTTTCATCCTGCTTGGTGCACTTCACAGTCACTTGGATGTGGCAAATTCAGGGTAACTCCGTGCAGTCTTGATTCTGATAGGAAGAAAAGGATAAATCTGAAGGTACTGCTAATAAAGAAATTGTTAACCCATTGGACTCTGTACTGTATACTGCTATGCCAGAACACGGTACATTTAGAGAAATAGAAACTTGAGTTGTTTACATTGTGAAGAGGAAATTTTAAAGAACTTCGTTTTGCATGCATCGTGACTTAATCAATTAAAATACCAACAAACTATAAAATAACACAGAATGCTTGAGAGTAAAGCTATTTTATGACAGACAACAAGAAGTATAGTTCAGAAAAGTAGACAACTTTTTCATGACAAAGTTAGAACAGCAACAACCTAAGGCTAAATTGCCAGCTATTCCTCACTTAAGGTAAACAAACATGGTATTCCTTTAATTTCTTCATTTCTATTTGATAAATATTTTTAACTGCAGTGCCTGTTGGTACTGTAAAGGCATCCACACCTGCAAGTTCTTCAAACCTGGTTTAACAAATTTTAAAGTCGATGTGGAACAGAGCATTCCAACAAGGACATTGAAAGATTCCCAAGTGAGCAACCTGCCAAGGTAAGGTGAGGTAGATTTGTTAAGGCATACTAGTGATGAGATCACTTTCTGCTGAAGCTTCAACAAACTCATGTGAGACACTGCAATACCATCCTCTCTGGCAAGCAGAAAATGGGATGAAGTTGGTTGTGTGTGCTGGTGTACTGCCTCGTTACTGAGAAGTAGTTCATCAGCAAGCACAGAGGGTAAGATGGTGCATTTGAGCCTTCAAAAGGGAGTAGAGGAGATGGGCAAGTTCATACAAGTACCAGCTCTTCTCAGGGCACAGTGTGGGAAGATGGGTGGGCAGGCCCCCACCCCACAGATGGTCAATAAATGCTCTCCATTTTCCTGCTCAGACTGCAGCCAACAAGGGTAACTGATCCAGACTGCCCCCCTTCTACAGTTCCAAGGGCTGGCCAGTCCCCAGTCACACTCGGTGAGCAGGACTGTCCACAGTTGGTATCTCACGTTCAAGGCTGGCTTTCTTCAGTCCTATCAGTCCACAGACTTCATCAGACTCAGAAGCTTCATGATGTGTTTGGGGAGTAGGTTTGATGAACAGATTTCCACCTGAAGAGACCAGTTTCCTTGCTTTGTGGAATATCTCAGAAGAAATTTAGGGTGATAATGGCCTGATGCACCAGAGTCTTGTAGAGGGGAAGTGAAGCGTGGGTTTTTGTCATCTACTGCTGTGAAAGTAAATCATGAAGGAGAGACCCACACAGGCATGTGAACTTTTAGGCCAGAAACCCTCAAACTGTTGTTTCCCAAACTTGGGTATTGGTGATTCACTGAGTTTTAGATTAGGTTTTAGCACATTTTAAACTTCTGCTGGGCATGTCTGAATTGAGAAGAAGAACTGAGAGGTTTCCCTATTAGCTATATGCGAAGAAGCTGTTGCTTGCTTGGTTGTAGTCCAATGAGGTCAACTTGTCCCACCATTTGAAACACAGTGCAGGAGAGAGTTTCACAGAGTTCATCGTCTTTAGCTTTCTTAAGCTATATACCTTTAAGATATTCTTGCAGGAAGAAAATAGTTTGGTTTGGTAGATTCCTGTTATTAGAGGATCCTGAAGTGTCCTAATACTGTGCTTATAGCACATTTTGAGACCTAAAGCATGCACTGGTTTTTGCAGAAATGCAAAATGCATTCAGCTTCATAAAAACGCTCCCAAATTTTTTAACTTCTAGCACTAACTCACCACCTCTTGAAAGCCAGGGTGATCATGAAGTAAACTGTTGTCCACTGGCAAAGGAGTAACAGGAAATGGAGAATTTCCAGAAAGCTCTTGATGCCTAAAGAAAAAACAACCAATGTACAGAGGCTGAATGTCCAGCACATATTGCTAATCAGAGTACTGAGACTTGACTTAACTTTTAGGCTGCAATGGGAATATCCAAGAGGACAACTGAGATACTAGCAACAGGACTTACATGAAAAATAAAGATAAAACAAATGAAATATACCCAAATGCTTAATGAGCAATCCTCTTATGTGCATGCACAAAAGGCTACTAGATTTCACCATGGGAGTTCAGCTTAAATACTGAATCTGGGGTGTTCAGACTTCCATTATAACAGGTTTATAACTGTGCATTCATATGTATATGACAGCTGCTTGTGCCGATAGACACAAAAAATGCAGGTGTAAATTTGGTGGGGTTAAAAAAATACTTGTCAGATTTTGTTCCCCAACAACTGAAAACATTGTTAGTACAAAACCCAGTGTGTTCTCATGGTCCTGAATATTGCAGAAACAAATAAAGTATGGAAAATTGAATCTAACTAATCATCTGGTAAGCTTAACAACCAAACATTAAAATTAACTGCAGCCTGTTCCCTCAGTAAAGATGCAATGACAAGATGCTGTTTTGATGAAAAACCTCGAAATTGCTCTACCACATCAACTCACTTTCTTTATATGTTTTTTTTTTTAAATTATGATCATGAGGTTCATTCACAGGTGATCTTTGTTACCTTTCTGCAAGAGACTCTAAGTCAATATGGTGTTCAAAACCATCTGCACAATTGTCTAGTTCTGGTGAGGGAGAGTTCCCTGGAAATAAGACAAGAGCATAATGACTATTCAGTTATGACAATTCAATTAACCAGATAAAAACCACAGAAAGTCTTTTGTGTCATCTGTAGTCTGCTAGCAGATCTAAAGTAGTATACAAAAGTATGGTGCCTTTTTATGGCAGATAATCAATAGCATCTTACAGCTTGAAAATGTTAATTTCTCATTTATTCACTTACAGAAGCACAAATCAGGGTTGTTGAAGTATACAAGAACAATATCATCACCCAGTTACAGACACAGGAGATGCTTCTGATTTTAAGAACCACAGATATTCTGCTTAAACCCAGCAACTGCTCTGTAGAGCCTTTGAAAGAAGCAGTGGCAGAGAAGAAACGAGTCCTTAATGTCTGGGTCGCAAACAATGCCTGATTGTTGGCTTGCTCGAAGATTTATATACATATATAATATATAAATATATGTACATATTTGATATACATACTATATATATTCTATACATAGTTTATATACATAGTTTAGATAAATAAAATTAAGAATATCATATATTCTTTGAACTACAACCTCTTCCCTTGAAAACAAAAGCACTAATAACTCTGTGGTTTTAGTCTACAAATTATCCAAGAGCTCAACAGTGGCTGGCCATACTGAATAATTTTTTTCTGTCAGACTGCAAGGTAAAGTTACACCCCAATTCCTGGCCATACTGAATAATTTTTTTTCTGTCAGACTGCAAGGTAAAGTTACACCCCAATTCCTAAATGTAATCTGGCATGAAGACCTGGATTGCTTGTTTTCCATACAGCAGTGTCTGACACATCTTGCACGTTATGATGTTCTGAAACAATATATTGTATTCTCTTAGCAAACAAAAGTATACAAAGACTGAATCCTTCCCTATGCAAAAGCCACAGGAAGTCTTTGTTTCTTAACAAAAAAATTAATTTTCCAGCTACAAATTGTTATCTTTGCAAAACACTGTAGGATTCAAAACTTTTGTTAAAAAAATTTAAACATTTACACTTAAACTTTACCATTGGGACTACAAAACATACCTCTCCAATACTGCACAGTAATTGGTCTTCCATACAAACAGATTCCATCCAGCAGAGCTTTTGCATAAGGCACTGATACTTTGTGTTTAAAGCAGACATAGCCAAAAGAGTTAGGTTTTCCTTCTTTGTCCTCACAAATCATCACTTTGGTTAATGGTCCAGCCTGAAAGAAATTTCTATTGTTTAGCAGAAACTGACTCTTCATTGTGTTTTGAATATTTAATTATTTCTCTTTAGCCATAGTCAGAAACCATAAGTTTCTTACTTTGAAAATGTCTCTCCACATTCCCAAAGCTCAAATTCTGAGCCTTCTACAAACAAAAATCAGCTCCAGAAATGTTAAAAGGGAACCAAGCATCAATTCATGTTTAATCTTTCATAACCAGAATTTTTTATTATTTTTAGAATACCACACCACAATAATTAGTTTCCCAAAGGGGAAGAATGATTTACTGACTCCATAGCAAAAGTTACCTTCCAGTTCATAAATAAAAGTATTAATAGTTCAGAAGTAGCAGTAGATCATCATTTGATGGAGGGGAAGAGCAAGAGGTCAGGGATGCATGTTCGGGACTATGCCATAGCAGGAATATGGATATTTTCAATGACAGGGCAAGACTACAATGAGAAACATAGGCTGTTGCAGCAAAAGGGAACGAAAACAGATAAAACAAGGGAAAAAGACAAGTTACTGGGATGACCGAAAGACCCAGATAAAAGCTGGCAGCTGGATGGCTGCTGTAGATTATGCAGAAGAATAATGCAAAACTGTGTTCTAAGACCACCTTTATCATTTTTACATTTGTCTTGTATTACTCATATCCTCTAATAAGATAAACTTCTTAAGCTCACATTTACAGTTCACAGTTATACAGCAGACTACTGTTTAATCTTGAAAGCAGGCAGGAATTAAGCTTGGGCTTCAAACAGGTTCAACTCCTTTGTGTTTCTACACTGTCACTGAAAGGTGGGGGTTTGAAGGGACCTCTGGAGAGCGTGTCGTCCAGCTTTCCTAACTGAACATCCCACTGGTCGAATTTTTCTTCTCGAGCACTAGAACAGCATTTCAATATATAAGGGTACCCATCTGCTACCTGCAGGAAGAGCTCATACAGGATCTCCTCCCTGACCCGGCTCTCCAAGTTACCCACGAGCAGAGTCTGCTCCGCTGCCTCGGACCGCCCCAGCGACGACATGGATCCTGTGGGAGCCCTGCGGGTGTGCGAGAAGAGCGCCCCAGCTTCAGGGAAGCTGCACTCCAGGACTCGGTGTGAGGGGCCAGGCCTGGCTCCTGGCAACATTGGAACTCAGGAGAGCAGGTGTTGCGTCTGTTTGTGACACCACCCCCAGCATCTGTGACACTGTACTTAATTGTTCGGTGCGTAGTAATGATGGTAAATACAAACATGAAGGTTTTCTCTTCCATTTTTGCCACTGAATATTAAGTTCTAGCAGGGATGACTGATGCAAAACAAACTGACCAACCATGAAAAACAATCCACCCTCCCAGACTAGAACTCCCACCATCCACTCCTGCTATTACCATTGCAATACCTCTTCTTACTGCAGAGGAGGCTGCAAACAGAGCTAGTGCTCAGCTCAGGAGGAAAGAGAGAGGGTTTTATCAGATAGAAGTCCATGCCAGCCATACGGAAAACCTGTTTCTGCACTGTGTTACAATGGTGGCTCAGGTGAAATGAGGCCAAGATCTTTTAAAAGGCTTGGGCCTGTTTATTAAAAATCAAGACAACTGAAGACGAGACCTCAGGGTAAGCCTGGGGCCTACACGGCAAGTCAGAGATGCAAACGAACAAACTGTGTGCAACACAGGGAGTTTCCTTGGACAGGAGCTGATTTGGCAGAAGGACACCAGGTACTGCGCTTTCAATCCACTTGTTCATTGGGCCTTTTCCTGGTTGGTCCATAAGATGGTGCATTCCTGGCCAATCATTCTAGAATTCTGAGGCTTCATTGGCTGGCTAGTTTACCAATCATAGTACATATTAATGTTATCATCTCATGAGGTAGCTTTCTAGAAAGTTCCCCCACTCTGATCTCAACACCCCCCTCTAGTGGGCACACATTTATACTACAGCACATTTAACTTTTTAACTTATTACTTCATAATTTATTACATAAATTAGGTATCACAATCTACTACACTAATTAACAATTCAGAATAAAATTACATCATTAACAATTCATAACCTTGCCTACAAAAGTCCACTTTATTTATAGCATTAGCTTGAACAGCAGAAGTGATTTTAAACCATGAACCATGAACAACAGACTGACCTAATCTCTGCAGTAAACTGCTAGAGTTGTCCAGTCACAGCTGGGCAAATGAACAGACACTTTTGCTCCTGATAAGCTTCCAAAGGCAGCCGGTCACAGGCAGAAAGCTGGGGGAAAGAGTGTATCCAAAGTCGCAGCAGCAGCCCCTGGGCAAGGGAGCAGAGCTCATGGCACAGTGAGAATTCCTGATCCAAGCTTTTATTATAAATACAAATTATGTTGTGGGCTTTTCGCAAATACTAGGATGAATGTTATATGCATAATGTTAAAATAACTTTGCTTTTATTTCTGCTATTAACAAAAACTTATCCAGTGAACATGTAATGAGGACCCTGCTATTGATATGCCAACTATCAGCATCTGCAGTGTGAAGAAAGTATGGACAAAGGTCCAAACTGGAAGTGATAAGGAGGAGCGAAAACCACAGCCAAGAAACACACACACACTAAAAAGGCAGACCCAAGGAGGGACCATGTAAAATAGTTCCTGGAAAATGTAAAGTAGTTTATGGATATGCATGAGGGTACATGAATATGCAATAGGTTGTGAAAAATGCATATTTTATTATTAGCTTTTCACAAATATTAAAATTAATATTATATGTGTTATGTTAGGTATATGAATATGCAATAGGTTGTGAAAAATGCATATTTTATTATTAGCTTTTCACAAAAATTAAAATTAATATTATATGTGTTATGTTAGAAAGTTATGCTGTATTAATTTTCTTAACTAGTGTGTTAAATATAGTTTTAGTATATAACATAATGTTAAAATAGAAACTATGCTATGTAAGATACTTTTTAACGAGCTCAAGAAAGAGATTAGATAATCAAGGAACTTTACAGGAGCTGCTTCTGGCAGACTGGGCTTGAGTTGTGCCAGGGTGAAAAATTAGAGCAATGATTTGTGCAACGAGCTGCATTGCCGAGTGCTACCAGAGCCCAAGAGCTTCTCAGACAGAATATTTCACCTCTGTGGACCAAAGTAAAAGAGCCTTGACTCATCAGTAGCCTCAGGGAATAAATGTGAATTGAGCACATGAAATGCACAGTATCAACTCAATACGTGGGTATGTGTGTTGGAGATTAATGCAATTATTGATACTTAAAATAACCAAAACCTTACCCTGACAGAGAAATGAAGCTGTTCATTCTATGAGCTTGCACCACACGGAAGAGTTTGAACCTTTTGACTTTACCAGCATTCCCAAGTCAAGAACTTTTCATGGAATCAGTTACACTGCTACTGAAGTATAAGTTTATTCCCCTGTGGGGGGGGGGAAGCAGTACAAGGCACTTCACAATACTGTGATTATTTTCACACCACTGCTACTGCAATAGTGTGAGAAACAACTGCTCACTTTCAAAATTTTAAAAGGTTTATTAAACTTTAACAAAAGTTCAACAAAAGGACTAAATAAGGAAAAATTGCAGTGCTGAGAACGGCCCTCACGGCTGCCTACCACGCCACTGGCTCATCTTCACGATGGATGCTCAGTCTTTTATAGCCCTGGATGGGGGGAGGGTTGCATCAGCCAACCCTGGCCCCTCCCAAAGTCTGTCATCAACTCTTCTTTGTCGTTTATTGGTGGAGACTGCTTTCTTGTGACTTGATTGGAGGGTCGGGTGTTGCCGTGCCGCACCCCACTAGCAACAAGCTTTTTCATTCCAAACTTCCCCATGGAACGGGCACATGTGTATGCCTCCTTTTTACCTGTCCTAGGCAACCCACGCTGTCTGATGGCAACAATACAGAGAGGGGGGGGAAAGGGAACTATGGGGAGCACAGAGGACATTTAAACTACAATAACATAACTATACATCAATAAAGCTTCTCTTAATATTCACACAATATTCATCCCTTAATTGTGAGAGCCAATCATCTCATTATCCACCATTATAATAAATAATATCCATAAACAAGTATCACATTTCCCTCAAAAGAAAACAAAATGCCAGTAAAAATTTTATGCAACAGTCTTCATTATCTTCAGATGGCTTTGGAAGGGTAATACTTCTGTATTCTGCATCTCAAGGCACAAGAGACATTTTCAAACGAAGGCGCAGACCAACAAATCCTAATCTCTCCCAGCAGACAAGTTCCTTAGAGCATTCCCTCATCAGAGAATACAGACAGTGAGCACATTTCAACTCATGGCTCAGGTCCATTCCTTACCAGTCACTAAGGAAATAAACTTCAAAATACTCTGCAACCATTGTAAAATCACTTCTGCACAAACCTGTTGCAGATGGGTAATGCAATGGCTGGCTCTTGCAATTAAGAAATTGATATTATGTGTATGTTAAGAGAAGTTTTATTGATGTATAGTTATGTTATTGAGATTTGTTGTTTGGATGTCCTCCCTTCTCCCCATACTCCCCTTCCCCCCCCCCCCCCCCATGGTTGCCAAGAGACAGCCTTGGAACATGCAGAAGGAGGGCGGGTTCCTGTGCCTTGCGCGAGGCATTTGGGAGGAGGTGCCAAAGAAGGAGTCAGAAGTCTTCGGCTGTCGTTCTCAAGGTTATTATTTCTTATCTAAAACATTTTCTGTCTGGCCTGCCAAGGTCTGTTCTGCAGGTCAGTCTGAGGCACACTCTGCCCTCCCACAGGGCTGGCTTTTTCTTTTATACTATAAACTACATATTTGATATTTACAGTTATGTTCCAATATCTATCACCTATGTTAGACAGTGACTTTCTACTCTAAACCAATCCCAAAGTGCCACCATCACCAAGCAGATGGAGGCTGGGAAGAAGAAGGGAGAACAGGACAACACCCAAATCCCTCCATCTTGTCCCATAGACCCCCATGGTAAAATTCTTCAAAATTCCACCTTTTCATCCTGTGACAACTACTGTTATGCTACTTAAACTTTTGTGACTTGTAATTGCTTCATATAAAGTTGGTAATTTGCTCCATGGGTTGAGAGCGAATTCACAAGTGTCTTTGGCTTCCTGCCAGGGTCTCCAAGCCCCTGCCAGGATTTTGAGCCATCCAGGGCATCCAGAGGGATGTCTTGGGTTCTGACAACTACAGTACAAGGGGGAAGGGAAAGAAGACTACGGGGAGAACATATAAAAATAACATAACTGTATATCTATAAAACTTCTCTTTCCATACACATAATATTCATCTCTTAATTGTGAGAACTAACCATCATATTACTCATCTATAACACAAAGTGAGATCCAGAACTGAGCCAAACAGCAACACTTAGCAAAACAAAAGGATAGAGAGAGAAAAGGAAGGAGGGAAACAAATAGGAATGCAGGAACGCAGTGCAGTAGACAGAGGTACAGAGAGGGAAAAAATGCCAAAGAACAGGCCAGATAAATTGTGAGGAGAAAAGAGGCAGATTCAACTCAGAACAAATTGATGGAGAATAAAAAAACAGCTGTAAGCTACAGAAGAGAGACAGAGGATGAAAAAAGGAGACAGAACTGTGTGGGACAGAAGCACACAGAGAAAAAGGAAAGGGAGTGTGGTAGCGTGATAGATGAGTAATGCAATGGTTGACTCTTACAATTAATAGACAAATATCATGTCTATAGGTTAAGAAAAGTTTTATAGATTTATATTTATGTTTTACCCCCTCGCATTGTTATCAAGGGACAGCTGGTGTTGGGACATCTGGGAGGGCTGGCTTGTCACTATGGTGATATCTGACCTCCAATCAGGATTTGAGGAAGAAATCTACACCACTGGACAGCGAAGAAGGGGTTGATGGACAGAACTTTGGGAGGGGTTAAAGGGTGAAAAAGGGGAAACCTCCATTGTGTGGGAAAGAGGGCACATGGCAGGCAAAATCTTTTGCTCCTGGCACCATAACCTTTTTTTCTCTACTCAGTCTTCTGTTGTATTTTTGATAAGGTATAATAAACCTTCCTAAACTATGAAAAGTGAGTAGCTGCTTGTCACAGGTAGGAAGAGGAAGCAAGACAAAATAGAGACAAAAGGAGAGACGTAGGGAAGCAAAATAAAGTAGTCACAGCAGCATGTGAAAAAAAGGGGGGTCAGGAGAGAAGCAAAGAGTTCTTGAGGGGAGACAGGACCCAAGGGACCTTGGACTTACCTCAGCTGTGATTCTTGGATGATTCTTGGCACTGCCAGGAAAATGTACCAGTTCGGATGCATCTTTCCCCTTCTCACCCAGAGAGGCAGGCTTTCACTTGCCTGCAGAGAGACCCACTGGATGGCCTCCAATTTTTATTTCCTTGCCTTTTTTATGGCCTCTCCAGTCTCTGCCACAGCAGCACCTCTCTGAGCCAGTAAGTGCACATCCCGTCCCTCTCCAACCTATGCCCTGGAGGGAGTAAGGCCAGTACTACCGATGGAAATTATATACAGTTTCAATTTTTTATGTAAAATGTTTTAATTTTAATGTAACTTTAGTCAGTTTAGCTCACCTTTGCCCAGGGAGAAGAGAATTGAAGTTTCTTTTCAGAGGACTGGTTCACCAGGTGAGGTCTGATGAGCTTAACAGCTCAAGGGACTGGAAGTAGCTCAGAAGATACACAAAAGGAAGTGAGAGACACCTGGTCTGGGAAAACAGAGATAAGAATGAAAACCTAATTAGCATAGAAGGTGAAGAAATCCGTATCCAGTAGGAAACCAAATATTAAGAACTGCACAATGTGGGAATAATGAAGATTGAACCAATTAATTTCTATAGGCTTTGACTGTATAAAATACATGAAAAATCGAGTAAAGAGCTGAGATATGGAATTATTTTCTCTGCACAATCCGGGCAACGTGTGGATTAAATTATTTCTATTGCACATCCTGGCCAGAACACATCCCAGACAGAATAAACAGATTCTCTAACACTAAAAACTTAGGAGAGTTGTTTTTGTTTTGGAACACATCCCAGACAGAATAAAGTGATGCCTTGATTCTCTAACACTAAAAACTTAGGAGAGTTGTTTTTGTTTTTCCTGCAGTTTCAGTGAAACTAATGTGAAAAACACATTCACTCTCCTGTGAAAATTTAAAGTTTAATAAAGGACCATAGAGCAAAGGTTATTGTGGCTGGGTGCATCTTGGCACTCAGCCAAGACCACGCCTGCTAGTTTGGAAACACCCTTTATATCTCATGTCTATTACATCAGCCTGTTACATATTCATGACCCCTTATGCATAGTAAACTTCTTCCCAAACTAGTTTACATGTTCCAAGAACTGTTTAGCATGGCTGCTCCTCAGGGCCACCTTTTTAGAGCATGTGGATTCCTTGGCTGTGGCTTTTAGTCCGTTCTTATCACCTCCTGGTTTTGGGCCTTGATCCACACTGCCTTCAGACAGTGAGTGCTGATAGCTGGGATATCTGTACAGGTGTCCTCATCCTGTGCTCACTGGATGTTATCCCATCCAAGCAGGCATTTCAACACAAGTATGCTTATATCAGCTATTTCACTAAGCTTAATTAACAACAGAAATAAAAACAGTGTCTTCATAACAAAGTTACTTTAACATCACACATGTAGAATCCATTCAAATATTTGCGAAAAGCCAATATTATAATATGTATCTACAACACTAATGACCCACACAAGCTTCAGGTGTGTGCAGT